TTTTTCTTTCCATCTTCAAGTGAATGCACACCAAGTATTGTATATCAACATTTCCTGTCATGTTAGATTACTGTTTGAGCAACGTGATTGTACAAACATAAGCTAGGCGTGTGTTTGAGATAATCCTTTTTTTAAGTCCAATAAGCACTTCTTGTAGGTCAAAAACACTTCGCCCATGTTTGATAACCATTGTTTACAATTTTTTTTACATACTCATTTTCAATCAAATATTCACAAATAAATATATTATACACGTAAAATTAAAATTTTCCCTTGCTTTTAACAATATATTCTCCTAAAAATACTATTCAAAATGAGAATGAAAAATATAGCCGTTATGATCCACACAAAAGATAGAAAGTCAAATATAGTGGTTTGATGTGATGGATAACGGTCATATTTTTCATTTTCATGGCCAAAGAATAGGAATTAAATAGGGCTAATTGTTGTCGAACAAGGGGCTTAGTTTTATGCATTTTTTTTTTTTTGGTTAAAGTATAGACCAAGTTGTTTTTGAAAAACACTACTTTGCTTTTATGAGATGTTATCTACATTAATTATGTTGGTAAATTAAATATAATGTTATAAAATGAGAGGAAAAGAGAGTAGAGAAAATTCAAAGAGAATAGAGAAAACTCAATAAACTTTTTGTGTGTATTATTGAAAACTAAAGCCCAATATTTATATGTAAGAATCAGGGATATAATGGTAATAATTTCTAGGGATACAGGGGTACAAATGTCATTCACCAATAAACTTTAATGGACTTTTCATTTACAACACTCCCCCTTGAATGACATCTTACAAAATATATGCCTCGTTGAAATTTTGTTTGATAAAAACCAAATGTGAAAAAAAATCAAACGAAGGAAAAAGAGTACAATTATTTTGGAGTATTAAAATTAAATGTTGCCTCATTAAAACCTTACTAGGAAAACCCAATGGGACAAAACATAAGCGAAGGAAAAAGAGTACAGCTACTCCCCCTGATGTTGATCACTGAAAATCTTTGAGTCGACGCATTCCAATCTCATTAACTAATTTCTTGAATGTAGATGTTGGCAGCGCTTTTGTAAATAGATCAACCACATTATCACTTGAGCGAATTTGTTGAATATCGATGTCACCATTCCTCTGAAATTCATGTGTATGAAAGAATTTTGGAGAAATATGCTTCGTCCTGTCGCCTTTGATATAGCCTCCCTTGAGTTGTGCGATACAAGCTGCATTATCTTCAGACAAAATTGTTGGATTATCTTTTGTTGAAGTCAATCCACATGATGATTGGATATGATGGGTCATATTTATCAACCATACACATTCTGCCCTGCTTCATGGATTGCAATAATCTCAGAATGATTTGAGGATGTTGCTGTCAAGGATTGCTTCACAGATTTTCATGATATAACTGTTCCTCCACGTGTAAATACATATCCTGTTTGTGATTTAACGTTATGTGGATCAGAGAGATAATCTGCATCTGCATATCCCACTAAAGCAGATCCTGACTTTTGAGAATAAAATAGTCTCATATCAATAGTATCTTTTAGGTAACGAAAAATATGTTTAACACCATTCCAATGCCTTTGAGTTGGTGCAGAGTTATATCTTGCAAGGAGATTTACAGAAAAAGCTATGTCAGGTCGAGTGCAATTTGCAAGATAAGTTAATGCTCCAATTGCACTAAGGTATGGTACTTCAGGACCAAGAATCTTTTCTCCATCTTCAAGTGGACGAAATGGATCTTTTTTCACATCAAGTGATCGAACAACCATAGGTGATGGCAATGGATGTGCATTATCCATATAAAAGGGTTTCAAGACTTTTTCTATATAAGTAGATTGATGAACAAATAATCCCTCTGGAAAATGTTCAATTTGTAATCCAAGACAAAATTTGGTTTTCCCCAAATCTTTCATCTCAAATTCATTTTTCAAATAATCTGCAGTTTTGTTGAGCTCTTCAGGAGTTCCAATTAAATTTAGATCATCAACATAAAATACCACAATTGCAAATCCAATATTTATTTTCTTTATGAAAACTCATGGGCAGATATTGTGATTTTTATAACCCTTTTTCAACAAATATTCGCTAAGGCGATTATACCACATGTGTCTGGATTGTTTCAATCCATATAATGATTTTTGTAATTTAATTGAGAACATAGTTCTCAGACATGTATCATTTATTCCTGGCACCTTAAATCCTTCAGGGACTTTTATATATATGTCACTGTCAAGTGAACTATATAGGTAGGCAGTTACTACATCCATAAAGCGCATATCGAGCCCTTGTGACACGGTCAAACTAATTAAGAACCTAAAAGTGATGGTATCCATTACGAGATAATATGTTTCCTCATAACCAATTCTCGGTCTTTGGGAGAAACCTTGAGCCACTAGTCGGGTTTTGTATTTTGTAATTTCATTATTCTCATTTCTCCTTCGTACAAAAACCCATTTGTATCCAATAGGGATTACATTTTCAGGTGTTTGAACTACTAGTCCAAACACTTTTCGTTTCTCCAAAGAATTCAATTCTGCCTGTATGGCTTCTTTCCATTTTGGCCAATCATTTCTATTTCGACAGTCATTAACGGACTGTGGTTCAAAATCCTCATTTTGCATAATATCAAGAGCCATGTTAAAGGCGAAAATATTGTCTATAACAATATTATTCCGTTCCCATAATTTATGAACTATCATATAATTTATTGAGATCTCATTATTTTCGGACACCTCTGGTTCTTCAGGAACCATACATTCAATATTTGATTGATCAATCTTTTCTAATCTGATTTCTTCTGAAGTTTTTGGCTATTTTTCTCCCGTACTCTTCTTTTTCAAGGTACAAAGTCTTTTGAACCAACTGGTCGACTACGCTTCTAGCATATTTGAGATTCATTTGCCACAGTAGATTGTCCTACAGGGATATTAATTTTCACTTTTCTCGTGTCAACAAATACATCAAGTAGTTGAATTGCAATTCTTTGCAAATGAATGATTTTTTCAACCTCTTGTTCACATTGATTGCTGCGGGGATCAAAGTGAGATAGAGTTGTCTCATTCCAAGAAATTCTATCTTGTTTTTCAGGATGTAGTTTTTCTCCTCCCAAAGTTGGGAAAGTCATTTCATCAAAATGACAATCTTCAAAACGTGCAATAAATAAGTCACCCGTTAAAGGTTCGAGATATATAATAATAGATGGTGAATCA